CATTGCTAGGCAGTAGATTTAATGTTAATTCTAGACCCTGAAGAAGTTTTTGAAATATAGGGTTATTGTGGTTTATAAAAAAAAAAATCTTCAGTATGAATGAATTATTTCTGGAAATTTGTAAGCTTGTACCAATTATAACATTTTGATTGATCACCTTTCAAACCATATGTTTAAGAACTTAAGATTTGTCTCTTACACTTAAGTGGCTACCAAATCACTCACTCTGTGTAGCATATTCCACAGGAAATATTTTAATTCTTTACTGAATTTTTTCAAAACTCTACATTTAGCAAACTATATAGCCCTATATAAAAGTTAGCAATGAAAAGTATCATCCCACCCATACTGGCCCTACTTAGTAGAATGTATCAAAGAAGAAATGACATCTTCATCATTGTCAATGCTGGAAGTAGGCATTTATACAATTTTTTTCATTGAAAAGAACTAGGAAGTTCAATCCATTTACCATTCTGCTACTAGAATGACCTTTGAAATAACCCAAACAGACCTTCTGTCTAAACCTCTTCAATGGGTGGTCTTTTTTTAGAATAAAGTTTTGCCTTTAGAATAACATGTGACCTTCTTGCCAAAGCACAGGGGATAGAGATGACCTGGAATTTGCTCTCTGCTCTGGGCTCATCTCTAGTCAGGCGGGCTTTGTGCCCTTTCCCATCTTTGCAAATCAGCCTATGATTTCCCTCAAAGCACTTGCTAGGAACTGTTGCTATTGTTATCCACTGTTAATATCTTTTGGGCTCCCTGAGGGTAGGGAGTACATTTTTATTTCTGTCACTGACATGTAACATCTGGAAGTGGTAGGAAGTTTAAGACAGATAAGTAAATGTGAAACTAGTTATTTCCCCATTTGGTCTTGAAAAAGCCCAATTTGAGAGCGTCTCATAGGCGTAGGCACTAACTCTATGGAGTTCTCCAGATGTTTAAGTAGTGAAGGCATGAATTGTTCATTGCTTGCTTGTTTAAAGACTGGTTGAATATGGGGCGCTGTTAAGCGTCTGCCTTCAGCTCTGGTCAGGCTCCCTGCTCAGGCCAGGAGCCTGCTTCTCCCTCTCAATCTGCCACTCCCCTTGCTTGTGCGCTGTCTCTCTCTCTCTCTCTCTCTCTCTCTCTCTCTCTCTCTGTCAAATAAATGGATAAAATCTTAAAAGAAAAAGAAAAGACTGGTTGAATATAAGGCTGAGAAGATGATTGAGAAGGTATGTAGCCACTGTTTCCTGAGATGAGACCCAAGAAGCCCGGGTGAGCTGAGAAGAGACAGATCTTGATTGTATTGCTGCCTAACATGGGCTTGAGGGCAGATGCAGCCATAATGATTTAAGTGTACAGCAGAGTATCTTTAAAAACCTTTATGACCTTGTGTTGTATCAAACACATCTCTGACCCTTACAGCCACCCACAGGACTCAATCCAATATCTGGAAAATGGGTAGCTTTAAAGAAACTCTTTGGAGTACTGGTTTCAGGCCAGACTTCGCTAAATCAGAGTGCCAGTTTCCTTCATGCCAAACATTACAATAAACCCCTCTGCAAAAGGAATAAAGACTGCTGAGAAATAACTGACGAGGCTTTCAATGTCAATAAAGGTCATCCTGTGCATCAGTATTGTGAAAGTCTCCTTTTCACAAAGGGAAGAGGGATTTTATAAACTCTCCTGTGAAATGATGGAGATTTAGAGCCGGCATTAGTAGACCCTGTAATAAAATAAATCCCTCCTTCAAGTCCCCCTTGAAGTGAAGAATGGCACTTGAACTTTTCGTTTGGTAATACGTGGATTATAGCCATCCCTCCCCTGACCACTGAGGTGTGTGTCATCTTCTTTGATCTCTTCGTAGACATCCTATTGGGAGAAAGAGGAAGTGGAGAAGAATTGCGAAATAGCCTTTTGGCTTCATTAGACATTGCTTGATTAAAGATTTGGAAGGTGCTGTGAAAATACATTTAGTTTTCTGACAATCTTGTAAATGAAGCTCAACAAGTGTGCACCAGAGTACTGATCAGATACTTGGGAGGAAGCTTTTACACAGTGGACAGACCCTGCTAATGAATCCCGGATTGGCACAATATTTAATTTGGCTTTTCCTTATATATAGCAGGTATAGAAGAATCAGCCAATAGCATGAGGTCAGAGATGTCATTTATTTGGCATATTGTGTTCATTAGAGTTTGTGACATATTCCAGCTTAAAATATTGTGCTATTCAGTGTATACGTATTTATAAAAAAATCATTGGGCCATCTCTTGCAGGATTAGAATGTTAAATGGCATTTGTGAAAGACAAAAAATTTACTTGTAACTTCATTAATTGTTTGGCTAAGGCTTCTTCCTTTATTATTTTTTTTAACTGGAAAATTTGTACACTGCAAATGACTTCAGTTAGCTTCCTAGGTGGCTGCCAAAACCAAATAATCACATTAAACTCAAAGTGCATTTTTTTTTTTTTATATATTCGAAGAACATAAAGAACACAAAGAACACAGAGCTGGGTTTCTTTATTAATGAAACTATCACTATAAGAAAGACTATAATACTAGGTTTATCACTAATAGGAAACAAAGATAAATAGTAATGTCTATATTTAAGGAACAGTTTATACATTTGTGTATACATTAATTTAACAGCGTGATCTGGGTTTCCAGGGACTAAAGCTATACATAGCAACAAAACAATTTTATGAAAATAATTCCCCCAATTAATTTACATAATTAAATTAATGTGCATAATTTACATAATTATTTTCATCTACATGAAAATTAAGGCTTAAAAATTACAACTTGAATAATTTGTTAGTAAAGTCATTCAAATATTAAAATATATGGTGTTTAAAGTAAGAAAAATATTAATCAACCCCTAACTCTCTACAGATCTCTTAAGTCTGAGATTTTGGAGGAAGACTCTAACTCCCCAAAGTACAGGATCTACTTCATACCAGTGAATCATATGTATCCTTTCCTCACGACTGAGAAAGAAAAAATGATATTTACACACTTAACACCTAGGAGACATAAGCCCTGAAATTCAAGGAGTGATTACAATAGTGATTAGCTACCAAATTATTCTTAGTTCTTTTTTATTTCCACATTAATTAAATTTCAGATGTAAGAGTTTTATCTTTTAAAAACATGCCTATTTCAGTGTTTGCTAATATTTTTTATTTTGGTGTGATTATCAGGTTTTCCATTATACCTAATTAAAAATACATCACATAAATTTAGGGGGTCTTCTTTTCTATGTAAAATATCTTACTCTATTTTCTCTGTCTTTCATGGTCCAATATTGTGGCATGACTTTCATTAAAAAAGATTTGCTTTTTAAATTTCATTATCAGAAGGCAATTTATAAACCAGCATTTTCTTTAAGTAACTATATGCAATCAGTATGATTAATTTTGGATGCTTTCAAAATATTTATATCGGTAGTAGCATTCTTTCTACCTAGAAGGTGATAGGAACCTCGTCCTGAGTTTTGGCTCCATAGGCATGGCTACCAGATCTTGTTAAGTGACTTTACGAGTTTAACAAAAATGAAGTATCCTGGAGTACCATTCATGTTTTCCTTTTGATGCCATTTTTAGACAATTGGGGGGAATTGGAAGAGATTGGGGTGCAAAATGGTTCACAATGCTGTGTCTGTAGCATACACATGGCTACTGTCTTGAGACACTGCTGTAAGCTTTCAAACACATTTCCACATATTTTAAGTCATTCTAAACAACATCCGTGTAAAAATATCAGCTCTTATTTCATACTGAAGGAAATTTAGACTCACAGAAAGTTCAACAAACGGTGTCAAAGTTCCATAAAGTCTAGAACTCAAATCTTTCAATCTCCAAGGCCTTCATTTTTTTAACTATAACATCATAATGTAGCTTTCTGCTGAAACTATAGTAATATTTAATAAAATATAATATTATGACAATAGAGCATTATCAGAGTTTTGTTTTTTAACAAACATCTCAAAAGTAAAAGAAACATGTGTTTTTCTCTATATATACTGGCTAGAACCCCATGGGAGGCTAAAAACTTGTTCTAATAATGGCTTATGCACTCAAAACATTTTGGGAGTTCTCATTTTGGGATTGCTTTAAAAGCCTACAGCATTTTCTTTTATACTCAATGCTTTCAAATCTTGATTTCTAAAGTGTAAATTTGATTTTTTTTTTACATGATCAGAAGCCTTATAGAGGTCAGATATGTGAATGAAGTGATAGATCTGACTTGTTATTTTGGTTTTGACTTTCGAATTTTGAAACAGATTTTAAGTTTTGCTTGTATCTAAAGGTAACTGTCAGAGAAATATTTAAAAAATAGTTTTCTTGATAGCACCAATAGAACATTAAGCAAGCTATCTATGTCTGCCTTAAAGGATAGCTTCATTTGGATTTTTTAGGACTGAAAGAATCATCCACGATTCTATTTTATCTAATCTATTTATCTATCTACACACACACTGATATATATATATGAAAAACAGGTTTTATATTTGAGTATGTCTAACATATGCTTTATATCAAAATGTGTATAACATATGCAGAGAGACACACTAACATGTCTTGTATTTCAATTTTATGAAATACAAATGTAGCCAATTTCAATCTAAATCATGCAGATCATCTATGTAACTTGGATGTTACCTAGACTTCTCCCAAATGAATGACTTATGTTCCTTAGTGAATGAATTTGAAGTGACATTTGAGAGGGTCCAGCTGCCAACCTACACTGCTGAGGAGGTCTAGCCTGTCTCTGGTCCACAGCAACAGAGCAATCACCACTGTTTGAGAATGAATTAGACTACATTGATCCTTTATTTCTTTAAATACAAATTCTGGAGCCTGTTAACTCACCTATCCCCACTTCCCTTCCCAAGTTCACAAGCCAAATGCGCCCCCCCCCCAAAAAAAAACAATTTTGGAGTAATAGTTCAATTGAGAGAAGAATAATTTAAAAATAAATTTGCCTATGGAAATTTCTTTTTCCAAGTTCATATCAGATGAGTAATGGGGTGAGGTTGTAACAAATTTTGAGGGAGACGCATGTCACACAAGGGCATGAACACCCAATCATTATGCTTATGAACCACAAAAGGATCCTGGAAATTACTTCTTAAATTTTTTTTAAAGATTTTATTTATTTATTTGAGAAAGAGAGAGCATGAGTGGGGGGAGGGGCAGAGAGAGAGGGAGAAGCAGACTCCCCTTTGAGCGGGGAGCCCATTGCGGGGCTCCATGCTCTGGGCTCCATCCCAGGATTCCAAGATCATGATCTAAGCCAAAGTCTGCTGCTCAAGCACTGAGCCTCCTGGGTGCCCCCTGGAAATTACTGCCCCCTTCCCTCCCTTTCTCTCTCCTTTTATCTTTGAGTCCCACTGCCCTCAAAGCAAAATAAAGAAGAAATATGTGGGTGGTGGGACAGTGAGTCCTTATAAGAGGAAGGCTAAATTGGAAATAGCTTACGGAGAACCAAAATCAATCTCAAACTATCAGTTTAATTTTATAATCATGTTATAGAATCATTAAAGAAGCTTGGTTATTATCATCAAGATTTCTTTTCTGGTTTAAAAGGTGAGAGGTTAATGGCTCATTTACTGAGGTATGCAGTTTTCTTTCATTTTTCACTTACAATTATCTTCACTTGTTTTAAAATGCAATGCAGTCTCCAAAATGTATTGTAGTTATTCATTATTTCTTTCAATTAAACTTTCTAAATCATAGATTTAAATGAATCACAAATAAGCATTAATAGATTTCAATCACTGAATGCCCACTTCCTGGAAGAAATGAATGGGGCAGATTTACTTTGGAAAATTTTCTTTCCGTGGCAGCTGGAGCACTGGGGCTCAGCAGATGTTAGTTTCTAAAAAGCTGGTATTCACTTCGGAAATGGACTCTGGATGTCGGTGTTGTCTTTCTCCATTGAACCAAATGTTTGTTGACAGAGCAATGTCAATGCTAAATATATATATTTTTAAAGATTTTATTTATTTATTTGACAGAGAGAGACATAGCAAGAGCAGGAACACAAGCAGGGGGAGTAGGAGAGGGAGAAGCAGGCTTCCCGCGGAGCAGGGAGCCTGATGTGGGACTCGATCCCAGGACCCTGGGATCATGACCTGAGCCGAAGGCAGATGCTTAACGACTGAGCCACCCAGGCGCCAATGCTAATATATTTTTGACTGAAACAGTGGTAACTTCACAGAGCATCTGTGTTCTGTAAGCACTTCAGTGTATTGCCTAGGTTGCCTGATATCTTAAGGCAAAGTCATGATTTCTAAACAACAGACCCTAAACTTCCTTCGAGGTTTTCATAGTTAGATCCAATTTTAGATAGGTAACATAAAACCAACTGTCCTTAAATTTAGTCGAAAAAATTACAGTGGTCTCATCAAGAAGACATAATGTTTACAAATGTAGAAAATCTCAGTTGTAATCACTATGGTAACATTATACACATTTGCATTGTTTATGACATTAAAATCAACAACTTTTTTGTAGAGACTACATTAGTTCTCTAGTTCACCAGGCTCCATGATAATTGACATCTCTCTAACACTTAGAATCCAGGTTACTATCCTGGGAGGGGTGTTATAATGAGGTTGTTGCCATAGAAACTTTGCAATCACTGACGCACTTTTACTATTGGAACTTAAATGCTATGGCAAATTTAGAATTTTAAATCATTTAGAAATAGAACAAATTCTATGGGGATAGTTTATTATTCTTTTATCTGATAAACCACTTGGGGGAACTAATTATTTTGAAAATTGGGGAAAGGTGCTTACTAGCACAATGGTGCCATTTGAGATCTAAGGCTAAGAGAAAAATTTGGTCTGGCAAATGCAGTTTACCAATAGAAATCCAGTTTCAGAAAATCCCAATGAATGTCAGTTTGATTTGGGATTGTTAATACTTAAAATAGCATGGAAAATGTTTTATACACATGAAATAAATAAGCTTGCTAAGGAAATATAGAAATGATAGATTGCCTGTCTTTATCAATTAACTATTAAATTTCTGTTTGTGATTTAAGCAGAAAATATTTTATCCTCCAAATCACGTTACTATTATAATCATATTATCTGCCTCTAATGTTAAATACAGGCTTTAGAATAAAATGGATTTATTGCTTTATGGAACTGTACTGCCTTATAGTCATATTCTAAACTACTATTGCCAATTACCCTTTGAAGATAAAGCCCACTGGGATGATGGCCATCAAAGGAAAATATGGATTAGAATATCTCAATAAAATCAAGAAACCATGTTGAATCTGGTTTTGCACATGCATTACTGTTGAATAATGAGTTTTCCATCATTATGTATTGTGCCATATGACAGAAGATTGCAGTGACTATACATATGTACTGGATATCAACTTGTGTTATTTGCATTTTTATTCTCTATAAATAATGTTTCCAAGCAGAAATGCACTAAGTTATTGCCTGAGAGCTCATTTTTTGTTCATTTATTAAAGAATCATCCATCATGGCAAGAGTCAACACCGTGCGGTGCCTGGGTGGCTAAGTCATTAAGCGTCTGCCTTCAGGTCAGGTCATGATCCCCGGGTCCTGGGATCGAGCCCTGCGTTGGGCTCCTTGTTCAGTGGGAAGCCGGCTTCTCCCTCTTCCACTCCCCCTGCTTGTGTTCCCTCTCTTGCTGTCTCTCCCTCTGTCAAATAAATAAATAAAATCTTAAAAAAAAAAAAAGAGTCAACAGTATGTTTAGAGGAGAAGAAGTGAGTTCAAATTAAGGAAGATCTACTTGAATTAACAAAAATGAATTCCAACTTTTGGAATTACGTGTCTTTTGAAAATTATCAGTAGTGCTGTTTAGAGTGCATTTCTCCTTTGTTTTCTCATTTAGCCGTGACTTAGTCCATTTGGATTGCTCAGAATAAGATGGGGTCCCAAGTAAATTAAGGTTGACTTAACTTTAAGGTTGACTCTATAATTTCTCTCAATGTGTTATTCATCTATTTACTATAGCTCTACTTCTATGAGTGATAATAACAAAAAGAGCAATTTTTATTTATTTTACTAACTTTGTCCCTGTTCGAGACAACTTAGATTTTTAAACTGTAGAGTTCAGGTTTTGTTTGTTCTGTATTTAAAGTTACAATAGGGTCTTAAAAACTGAAAATGAATACACATTTGAGTGTTTTTATGATAAAAGTAAAATATGTTCTCTAAGCTGAAAAGAAATTAAAGAAACATTTTAAGAATCCTTAAATGGGCCAGTTTCCTGTAATATCTACTTCTGAGTAATTCTTAACACTATGGAATAGTTTTGGTAATTCAAATATTCTTTAAAATTATCAGTGCCCTTTGAACTATTGTAAACATTTTCCTAAATGTTTACAAATGCAACTGTACTATTACAGAGCATCAAAGGAGATTTAAGATTCAATGAGGCGTAAATGTATATGGCACTCTTTTTTTTTTTAAGATTTATTTATTTGACAGAGAGAGACACAGCGAGAGAGGGAACACAAGCAGGGGGAGTGGAAGAGGGAGCTTTCCCCCCACCCCCCCTGCGAGCAGGGAGCTTGATGCAGGGCTCCATCCCAGGACCCTGGGATTATGACCTGAGCCGAAGGCAGACGCTTAACAATTGAGCCACCCAGGCGCCCCCGTATGTGGCACTCTTGATGATGTCCTTGAAACTACTGAAAATATTTATTGAAAGCACACTTTCTACATCTGACCCCAAGCAAATTTCCTTCTTTCTTTATCTTTGTCAGGTTAGAGTTAATGTGGTAAGGTAGAGGAATTTGAGCAGGAGGAGAATATCTATGTACTCTTGATTTGCTGATGTTGTTAGAGGACCATGCAAGAGAGTAAGATTTTTTATTGCTTATCCTTGTTCTTCTAGTACATTAAAAAGTAGAGAATTTAGATGGGGAAAATTATTAGACTTTGATGCTTCACTTTCAGGGACTTGTAAGGAGAAAAAGTGACACTATGTGATTTATTCTCATGACAAGATTGTAAAGAGAACAAGAAGTACAAAAACTCAATCTGTTGTTGTTACATTATTTACATTTGTGCATGATGTCTTCTTTATCCCGAATGCCATATTTGAGTGCTTCAAAATGGTAATATAGAATCTTCACAAAGATTTACAGAGCCAACTTCAAACAACTAACTTCTTAATTTAATGGTAATTATATGGTTTAAAAATGTACTTTCTTTTTGCGGCATATTTTTTCAATAGATAGCTCTGTGTATGCTGACATTAAATCATTTTTTTTACAATACTATTTTTTCTTTAAATTTTTTTATTGTTATGTTAATCACCATACATTACATCATTAGTTTTTTGATGTAGTGTTCCATGATTCATTGTTTGTGCATAACACCCAGTGCTCCACGCAGAACGTGCCCACTTTAACACCCATCACCAGGCTAACCGATCCCCCCACCCCCTCCCCTCTAGAACCCTCAGTTTGTTTTTCAGAGTCCATCATCTCTCATGGTTCGTCTCCCCCTCCGATTTCCCCTCCTTCATTCTTCCCTTCCTGCTATCTTCTTCTTCTTTTATTTTTTTCTTTACATATATTGCATTATTTGTTTCAGAGGTACAGATCTGTGATTCAACAGTCTTGCACAGTTCACAGCGCTCACCATAGCACATACTCTCCCCAATGTCTATCACCCAGCCACCCCTGACATTAAATCATTTTGCTGTCCTTCAAAATACATACTAGCTTACTTAAGTTTTGAAATGTAGAGATCTATTTAGCTCTACATTTAGCAACTTTAAAATTGAAAAGTACCAGATATGATTTTCCAAATAATTTTTCAAATCAGTAATCTAACTTTAAAATGTTAATTGCTAATCCCCAAATCCAAATATTATATGAAATTAGACTGTTGCTTTCCTTTTTGCACATGTGGTACATTGCAGAATAAAATGTGATGCTTCCTTTATAAATACCAATCATCTCAAATGCCTTGCTCATGTGTGAAATGGGTCAAAAGCATTTGACTGAAACATCATGGAACCACATCATTTTAAAGAAAATGAAGAACTTTAAAATGAAGTTTGCACTGATTATTTTTTCTAATAGATATGTTTGAAAGCTTTCTTATA